AAGTCCCACAGTTACTTCTCGTCCGGCTTAAGTATCAAGGCCCTCTGGCTGGACATGAACGCCTTCTCCCTATGGTCAAACCCCATCCTGACGCATACCACACCTAACCACACATGCATGACTCGGATGGAAATGTAAAGCTCGCGGACTTTAGAATGGCCAAACACGTAAGTCTCTCGCAGTGGTTTTCTGCCTGGATGAACTGTGTTGTGTCGAGGCGATGCCCAACCTCCCTGTACCTGTTCCAAACCTGTCTTGTACACACAATGTGGCAGTCTCCCAAGAGTCTCTCTGCGAGACGCACTTTGAGAGCACAAGACTGACTTGGAACGTTGCTGCAACTTATCATCGTCCGGAGCTCAACCTCAGTGAGCGCAGAAGGGAGGTTCATGTAGTCTTGCACAACATTATGGTGAATCAAGTCAATGTCGAAGAAGCCCTGTTCATTCCACGGCTTGTCCAGTCCACCTTGTTCTCCTGAAGAAAGAGAACGAATTTGTGGATTCGGCACTCTGTTGGCAACACTGGGCAAGCCAATCCGGCAGCCTCTTCGATGCTACAACCTGTCGATAAAGACACCCCATTGATTTGGTAGAACCTTACCTCGGATTGACGTATTACAAGGAGCAAGATCTTGAAAGGGCCTGTAAGATTGTTAGAGCTTTAGCAGAACTTGTGAAGTGCCAGGCAAGGGATTTGTTCCCTAAATCAGCCACTGAATGGTTCTTAAGAACATTTCCACAGAGGGAGGCTACTGTGATAGGGAACAGGTGGCTTGATGCATTCGAGACAGATGATATCAAGTATTGGGACAAGTGATCGATCTTCTACTTCAAAAGGAGGCTGAAGTTGAGGAGCTTTTGAGGGCGACAAAATTCTGGTTTGCGGGAACGAATCTAGTGCAGATGCAAATATTTCTTATCAGAGCACTCTGAATGTTGTAGAGAAGCTGGTAAGGTTTATCTGTTTGTGCTATGGTGTTCAAGACTTCCTTGTGTTCTCTGCTACAAAGTTTAATCTTCACAGTATAGATGGTACTGTTCTCATCCCGATGGGTTGATGATTCTTCAAGACAAGGAGAGTCAGCTTCAACACGTATTTTCTGAAGGAGTTGCGGAAAACGTAAGAAGTCTGATGATTCTCGAAGAAAAAGAAGCTGTGAGAGGGGCAACTGAAGAGAAGAATATCAGAGCAGCGGCAGGGCAGGTAGAAGTTAAAGAGTTGAAATATTCGGTTAAGCAGGCGATAACTACTGCGTCCGAGCACAAACTGGTTGGGATTCCCAACATTGGACGGACGTGTGATCTTTCAAGTACAATTCAAGCATTAAGTTCTCACAAGACACTTTGGAGGACTCTTGGAGAAAGCTTCGGCAACTAGCCAGTTGTTCAAGGAGTTGTTTGAACTTCACAAGAAAATCAACAATGGAGAAGCATGTGATGCGCGAGCTATGCACCAGCAGGTTGCTGCTCTTGATCCGAATTTTGCAGTTCTTGGGCAGGACCAGGACGCACATGTAAGTATATGGACTTTGTGTTTCGGCCTGACATTTTTGTGCAGGAATTTTTAGTATTACTATTCAACGAGCTTGAGAAGGTTATGGATTGCAAGGAAGTAAAGCTGAAGTTCAAACACGTCTGTAAATGCGTGACTTGTGGCGTTTCAAACTCGAGCTTTGAAGAAACAACACATTGGCTGCTCCACATTCCTAATGGCGGGGGTAACTATTATGTCTAGACTTCGTTGTGAATGTTTGTTTAACGATTGTCCTGCAGATTCACAAAGTTTGGATTTGGAGACCTGTATTGACTTCGATCGTGCGGATGAAAATGTCCAGCTACATGCGTGTACTTGTGGGAGCCAAAAGTTTATAAAATCTAAATGCTTGATCCAGCTTCTTATAATATGCTTGGAGCGTTTTCGTGCTTCCAGATGAAGGTTTGAAACGAGGACTGACAGGACTAAAGCTAAAAAGTCTGTCTTTCTCATCTTTTAGCGTAATTTAATTCGATTTCCCTTATGCAGAGCTTAAAAGCAGAATGGTGGACAGAGAAGTCAAAGCGCTTAGGGCTGGCCTGCTAAACTTGAGCAAGAGGACGACTGCCGCGAATTTTCCCAGAAAGTCTGAGGTAGCTGTGATGTTTCTGCTTAACACGGCTTTATTTTTTCTTTTCCAGATTAGCATCTAACGAGCAGGAATCTTACAACCTGTGTGCAGTTGTTGAACATTACGGAAGAGGAGGGCATTATACCACAGTTGCTAAAGCAAACAGAATTTGGTACAAGTTTGATGATGCAATTGTGAAGTCAACTACTTCTACAGGTTCTCAACATGCATGCTGTTCTATGTGAGAAACACGGAAAAAGACACGAAATAGAACAGGTGGAGGATATTGGCACAGGGGTGAAAAGGGAGCTTGATGGCAATCAGGCACAGGAAGTCTACGCAAAAACATTCTAAACTTCTTGAAGGGGTGAGAAAACAGAGAGTGGAAACAGTCAGCAGCAAACAACTGAATCCTCTTGGAAAAGAATTCTCTCTCTCTCTCTCTCTCTCCATTAGTGGCAATGTCTTCAAAGTGACTGTTTCAGAGCTACCTTCCTACGACTGCAATTCCTTCAAGCGTTCCGTCAGCCAAAATTTGTACACATGCAAGCATTTCTCTACGTAGTGCTAAAATTACCAACTGCACCGACTAGGTTGACTTGAAGTAAAACCGGTCTTTAAGTCTTTCTTATGTAGTTTACAAAATGACACCTTTTGTCAGCATTACTTAAAACTCTAAATAATATTTTTTTCAAGTAATCATTAAAAAAAATTTGTTTATAATGTTGGTAACTCTTTAACGCCCTTAGAGCCTCCATTTCGATCCACTGGATCCCGCCAGAAATCCACGCTCGAGCTCTCCTATCGCTCGCTCCCCCTGCCGCAAATCCCCGTGATTCCTGTTCCCGCCCAGCAGCGTCAGCCAATCCACGCTCCCCGGCAAGAACGGCATCTCCTCGATAATCTCCTCGGCCTCCTCCAAATGCCCAAGCCGAGCGAGCAAATCCACGACGCAGCCATAGTGCTGGGCCGTCGCCTCGATCGAATGCTCCGCGGCCATGGCCTGGAAGTATCCAACCCCCTCGTCCAGCAAGCCGGCGTGGCTGCAAGCCGAGAGGATGGTGACGAAGGTCACGTCATTCGGAGCGTCGCCATGGAGCTGCATGAGCTGATAGGCCTGGAGCGCGGCGGTGCCATCGCCATTCCGAGAGTAGCCGGCGATGAGGGCGGTGGCAAGGACCAGCGTCGATCCCTGGAAGCCGTCGAAGACTGCTCGAGCGGCGGCGAGATCTCCACACCTCGAGTATAAGTTGACGAGCGCGGTGGCGACAAACTCGTCGGATTTGCACTGGAGGGCCATCACGCGGTGGATGCTGCTGCCTTGTTCGTAGTCGCCCAGCTTCGCACAGGATTCCAGAGCCACCGCGAGAGTGAAACTGGTTGGATGGATGCCTTGGAGCTGCATTTGGCGAAAGATGGCGAGGGAGTCTCTGTCCAGGCCTTTCTGGGAGCAGCTTGTCATGGCACTTGTCCAGGCAAGCACGTCGTCCGAGAGCTCGAGTTCCTGTCGGTGAAGACCTTGATCTTGATCGAAACTTTTGCTCGATCTTCTTCTTCCGTGGGCTCGTACGAAGGCGGTGCCCAGCGCGGCTGCTACATCCGGTTCTACGTCGGCAACACCGCTCTCGAAGGCCAGCCTGTGAATCCATTCCCAGCTCCTGGGACTCGGCGATGAAGAGTTTAGAACCGCCAGAAACGTCACCCTCGCGGGCCTCAGTCCTTCGCCCAGCATCTCTCGGAACAACCGGAGCGATTCTGCCTCCGCGAGGAATCCCACCTCTACACTGCGCTGCTCTTCCAATAGCTTTCCAACGCTCGACACCGCCGTGAGCATCGCGTTCCAAGTCACAACGTTGCTCCGTTCCGAGACAGCAAAAGCTCTCCTGGAATTCTCCAAAGAGCCAGCTTTCCCGTATGTGGTGATCAAGCACGTACTGACGAGCACGTCGGATTCCAGTCCAGCCTCTCTGATCAACGCCGAGAAGACGTCCACCTCCTGCGAGCTCGAACAGGCCGGCAAGATGGCAAGGAACGTCACTGAGCTCGGCTTGGTCCCATTAGCTAGCAATTCTTGGAAGAACTGGAACGCCTCCTTGCTATGTCCGGACTGGGCATACGCTGCGATGATCGAGTTCCACGAAACAATCGTCCGCTGCCTCACTCCATAGTAAACCTGGGTAGCAGCTGCTAGATCACCGCATCTCCCATACATGGCAATCAGCCCATTTCCCAGCTCCACAGCTTTCTCTTCTTCTTCTTGATCTGTGATCCCGGCCTCTTGGATGGAGCTGTGGATGATCCTTCCCAGCGGCAGGAATTCCTCTCCTTCACAGGCCAGGAGAGCGTTCGTGAAGGTGATTCTGCCAGGCCTGACTCCTTCCAACATCATCTTCCCGAAAATTTCCAGCGCTTCTTGCCGGTGCCCGCTCCTGGCAAACCCGCCGATCACCACGTTCCACGAGACCGCATTCCGGAGCTCCATGGATTCCAAGAGCTCGATCGCGTCCCGGACGCTCCCACATTTTGCGTAGACGTTGAGGAGAGTGTTCTGCAAGAAGAGCGCGCGATCGCCAAATCCACACCGGGCAATGTGGGAATGGATTCGCCTACCTTCGTGGAGAGCACTCAATCGCGCGCATGCCTGGAGCAGCTCCTCGTACGCGTAAGGCTCCAGATTGATCCCATTCCACTCGAGCTCTTGAACCCGCGACCGCAGCACCGGTAGGAATTCGATGCTGCTGGCCGTGCTGGCCGTCCTCGTATAGATCGAGAAGAGGGAAAAATCGAGCGCCTTCTTCCTCCTCCTCCATAGCCCTAAATATTTCACTAGCATCAAAATGCCAGAGAGGCCTCGGGCTCAAATCCTCTCCCTGGCCTAAAGTGGTCGCGAGGTCGAATCTTTTCAGTGGCGTTCCTGTGAATGGTGGCTATAGCGATAGAAGAGAGGCTTCGAGGAATCCTAGGGTAGCTCATTCTTCTCTTTCTCTTTGGCGCGCGGCGGCCAGGAAGCGCTCTCTCGAATTCTCGTCGATCTCTCATTCTCTTTGGCGTGCGGCGGCCAGGACGCCGCGAAGGTTTGCTCGAATTCCAGCTTTCGGTGCTACTCGCCATGGATTTGCAGGTTTGCGCGATGGGAGTGCTGTATGGGCCAAAATCTTACGAGAACGAGCCTCATCGCGATCCATCACTCATTGTAAATTCCAAGGTAAGGAAAATGCTGTGCTTCTACCACTTCAACAAATTTATTTTCCTTCTCAGGAGCCTTTCAATGCCGAGACACCGCCGAAGGCTCTCGTGCGATCCTTCGTAACTCCCGAGGATCTCTTCTACAAAAGGAATCACGGTCCCATTCCTGTCATCGATGATCCAAACAAGTAAAAAAAAAATTGATCGAGATTGATTGATTCTTCTCTAAAGCTCTTTGCAATTTTTTTTTTCTAAATTGCTTGTTTTGGCAGCTATCGCTTGGAAATTTGTGGCTTGGTTCCTGGACCCTTGTCTTTGTCCCTCCAGGACTTGAGGTACTTGAAAATTCTTTCAATTCTCTTCTATTGCTCGAAGGGTGATAACCAACGTAAATGCAGGAACTTGCCCAAGCACACGGTGACGGCTACGCTACAAGTAAGAAAAGCCAACTTCAAACTTTTAGTCTTTGATGAGTTTTGCTCTCCAGTGTGCAGGAAATCGGAGAACGGCTATGAGCAAAGTCAGAAAAGTTAAAGGTGTTGGCTGGGCGATTTCAGCCTTGGGAAATGGTGGGCACGAATTGTTTTTTTTTCTTTCTTACGACATAAACTTTTGTCCAGCTGTTTGGGGAGGTGCTAGATTGCACGACGTGTTGGAACTCGCAGGAGTTCGCCAAGAATCTTCGAAAAGGCATGTCGAGTTTTCAAGCGTGGACGTTTGCAAGGTGGGCAAAGCAAAACAAAGTTTTCTTAGTTGTTTACGTTTTAAGTCTACCATCAACTTTTTGTTTCAGGAAGAAAATGGTGGACCTTACAAGGGATCCATCCCTCTCTCCCAAGCAATGAGCCCTGAAGCGGAAGTTATTTTGGCTTATGAAATGAATGGAAAGGTAAAATCAAAAGCGCAGAACGAATTTCCTAGTTTATGAAAATCTGTCACAGGAACTAAATAGGGACCATGGATTTCCTCTTCGGGTTGTTGTTCCAGGTGTCATTGGCGCTCGCTCGGTAAAATGGCTTACTGAGATCAAAGTTATTGAAGAAGAATGCCAGGTTTTGTATATAATTGGTAAGTCACGACACATTTTAACATCTCTCAACTCGCCAGGGGTTTTTCATGCAAAAGGATTTCAAGATGTTTCCACCAACCGTAGATTGGGACAACATCAACTGGAACTCTCGCCGACCTTTAATGGACTTTCCTGTTCAGGTATGTCGTCAAGCTGGGATTTCTTCTTAAAATTCTCGTGGTTTTTGGTTGCCAGTGTCCTATATGCTCTCCAGCAGAGGGAGATCTCGTCAAAGCTGGCAGCAAGGTAAGCACACTTGTGTTTGATGCTCAGTTGTTTGTTTCTGCTTTTCTAGATGAAAATTCAAGGCTACGCTGTGAGTGGTGGAGGCCGTGGAATAGAACGCGTTGATGTCTCGGTAGACGGAGGCAAAACTTGGCAGGAAGCTCAGCGATTCCAAGATGACAAGGAGTACATTGCTGACAATCCCGAGAAATGCAAGAGATTTGCGTGGGTCCTATGGGAGCTGACGGTGGAACTCACGAACTCTCCGCTAGAAGTCGTGGCTAAAGCTGTAAGTTTCTCGAGTTCGTTCGAGACCTCTCACGGTTTTTATGTGATTGACAGGTTGATGCTGCCGCAAACATCCAGCCAGAGGATGTATCGAGCATATGGAACTTGAGAGGAGTGCTAAACACTTCATGGCACCGGGTGAGACTCAATGTCGTCCCTCCTCAATCCAAGCTTTAAAAGGTTGGAGGTACGAAGCCAGTTCTTTTTGTTTCTTAAAAGTCATGGTTTTTTAGAGTTGGAATTCCCATTGTACAAGAGCAGTGTGATTTTCCACTGCGCTAGACGAAGAACTGGCAGCTTGAATTTCGAGCGAGCCAGCCTCTACTTTTTATCCACCACCTCGATGGCAGTTCTAAAGAGAAGAATCGACACCTTTCCCACCGCAAAGTAGATGAATCCACCGACGGAGTGCGTTACATACGATCCAAAACTCGTCCCCACGATGCAGTGCCAAGCCGGTCCATGGATCTTATCAAACTCCTACAAAGAACACCACGTAAGTAAAGAACTCGATCGTCAACTTGGACCGAAACTTACCTTCTTAAGTTGCCAGGCGATGAGCTTGCAGTTGAGCTTGCAATCCATGTTCTTGAGGAGCTGGAAGGCACACTCCACGGCGTGCTGCTGGATCGCCGGAGGCATGTCCACGGACTTTAGCTTCATCCTCGAAGAGCTGCTGTGGCATATCGGCGAGGAGATGACCGTTTGTTTCTCCTCCACAACCACGGGAAGAAAGTGCTGCCTCCGGAGATCACCGCCATTGCCCTTCAGCTTCGAGCGGTAAATCCTCCTGCCAAGATCGTCGCCACCATCGCGAAGATCGTCCACGCCTCTGGACGATGGCACTTTGTTCTTGCTGTGGATTTCGCTGCCGGTGGTGGCGGTGGTGGTGGTGGTGATCTTTTGAGCGTTCAAGTTGCTGGAAAACTCCAGCGCTCGCCTCACCACTCGCCGCGTTGTAGCGTTGGGCTCGCTACTCGAGGAGCTCGCGGCGATGGTTCTCAGCTGGTCCACGAAAGCATCGATGAGATCTTTCTCCTGGCAAGGGTCCCGGATGTTTGGACTCGTGGGTAGCATCTTCCCATTGAGTCCCGCGTGGAAGCTTGCCCGGCTTGGAAACATCCCACCATCGGTCGCGGACAAGGGGCTTTTGGCCGCGGCGCTCGATCTCCTGTGCTCCTGGTCTATAATGGGAGAATTCGCGGCCACCACGACGCAATCCTCCGAAGATTTGGCCGCCGCTACTCTGCTGCCACTGCCACTGCTGCCACTGCCACTGCTTCCATTGCCATTCCTCGCGGCCTTGCGGCTAGGCCGCGACGATGCCTTTGCGAAGAATCCAGACTCCACATTGAGGCTCTTGGTCATGTCCCATCGCCCCCTGGCATTGCTGTGCTGCCTGGAGCTCCAGGAAGGATCCATATTCAAGCTCCGTGACATATCCAAGTAGCTCCCCAGTGTGATTCGCGGCTGCTGCTCGCCGGCATTGCCCGCCCTACCCATTCTACCCTGGAATCCCTGGATGATCTAGCTCAATCCGGCCCGATCGACTAGGGAGGGCAAGGTACCTGTACGACTGGAGCTGGAATTCTCGAAGGAATTCTCAGAGTTCCTCCTCCTCTTCCTCATCCTTGCTCCTCCACCATAGCCTAGCCGCCGAGAAAGAGACCTTACCTAGAAGTGTTCGGCATGTAGCGCTCTGGCGCTTTTGTGGTACTCGTGGCCTCGAGCGAATGGGAGGACGACGCGTGGCGGATTGTTACAGCGAGAAGCTATCCGCGCGAGACGCGTGGCAAGGGCATGTGCAGCATGTTCCAATTTGCGTTTATTTTGAGAAGTATTCAAGTTACTATAAATTTGATCCTCTATGTAAACAAGTGCCAGAAAATCTTGAGCTTTTATTCTTGAAAATGCCATTTCCATATTGATAACTGTTAATGAAAGCCTGTGGTATGTCCATTTGGGTGTTTTGGGCCCTAGGGCATGCGCTAATATTCTAGTTTAAATATTTAGGGAGTTCCCAGAGAAAGAGAAATATGGCCACCTCTTTGATTGAGGAGAGCTATTGCATCCATACCAGCTTGTGGGAGGTGTGATTGTTGCCAAATGTGTGTAAAAGCTAGACAATTGTGTGTAGTACCACTGTCTCCACCTCCTGGCAGAGTCGTCCTTCCCATGGGATTGGAGGGCAAAACCATTCCCCAATTACTGGATACAATCGATGCCCTCTAGTCCGATATGCTGCAATGATCTTCCTGTGTTTCTGTCCAAGAGGCTGATCAGTCGACAACTTCTACGTGGTATCTGTAGAAACTGTGTTGAGCTCTATCAGCCCCTTGCAGCCATGTCTTAAATGCTTTTTCCATCCATAGCGCATGGACATAAGCTATATTTTCCAGAAGGAGATCACTAAGCTCCATCTCCAGTGACTGTGTCCAGTTGTGCCACCATCCAAGTTGACGTTGATTGTCCAGTCTAAAACAGCAAACTTTGCAAGGTTGTCTTCATCCAGGTGTGTGAGTAGACGTAGAACATATTGCATAGTATTCTTCCAAACTTGGAGTAGGATGCCAGATTCCATAGACATAACCCACAAGATACCTTCAGGCATCCGAATTCAGTTGTCCAATGAATCTTCCCAACTTGCCTCCAAAGGTCCTTGGTCAGACCAGGTCCTCATACTTCTTCACTGTACATCAAGACTGTTGTGACTTTTGCCATGAAATATTGGTGTTCAGTGTCCCAACAGTAGATTCCCATGGTACAGAAATCACTTTGGAGAGTGTGGTATGCTTTGCAAGCTGTGTTGATATGGTCAATTACCCCTGCACACCAGAGATTACATTGATGTACTACATAGCTAAGGTACTTGTATGCCTCCAATTTACAGCCAATTCTGTGTTATTGAAAAACATGGCAAGGACCTCTTGCTATCTCTGAAGTATGGTGCGGGTGGAGGCAAGTAGTAGTAAGTTGTCTACGTACAGAAGTAGATAGAATTATAGGTCCTCATTTGGATCTCTGATAGATGGTGATCAAGAAAGAGAGCCTCAATCGTGTTGATATATAAACCAAAGAGAGTTGGGGAAAGTGGGCATCCTTGCTTTGTGCAGTGGTGCTGGTGCTCGATTCTTGACCAGCAATGTCAGTGAGAATAACTTTGTACAAAGCCAAAATAGCCTAGATTATCTCTCGAGTACTTCCAGCCGATCTAATAAGCCTTGTCTCATAACTATATTGAAAGCTTTCTTGAAATCAATGAAGCAACATAATAATGATTAGTGGATCCACAAAACTGTATTGTGGCTGGAAACCTGCCTGGGCCATTGCACATTTCTCTCGCTGCTCACTCTAGTTTACGAGATGTTTCTCCACCATGTAGGCAAAGAGTTTGGAGGATCAAAGAGACCATTATGGTATGGTAGTTCGTATCTCCACTCTTCCATTGTCTTAGAAATTCATTGCAAAGAATGTCATTAAAGATAATTGCTAGAACCTGTGCAGAAAAGCCTCTATCACATGCCTGGAGAAGCTCGGCCATTGGGCCATGAACATCCAGGCTTATGTGTAGTGGAAGATCCCCAATGGCTCAGGCCAGCTCTTCAATAGTGAAATCAATGTTGCTTCCATCTGCTGTAGAGTTGGCAAAGGTACCCAAATCTCCATGTCTATCAGTAGAATCTTCTTGGTAGGCTTTCAGAAAATTTTATAGACAGTGGCTGGTGTTAATTGGAGAAGAGAAGTAGAATAAAAAATAAGGAAAAGTACATTTTAAAGAAGCAAGGCCTCTTTCCATCAACTTGAGAATATGCATAGATCAAGAATATTTCATTTTTTTTATATATTAATTTTATTTAAAATTTTATTTGATTACATATAACTAACCCTTGATAACTATCCCTTTTGCCTTTTTCTAGGGAAGAGTTTTTACTTCATCTTGTGCTAATTTCCCTTTCCCTTTCCAATTGTTTTGTACAAGCTATATAAGTTTAATGTCAACAATATAGCAAAACTCAAATGAGTTATACACTTTATCAAAGATCGTTAGCCACATCAAAGAAAGTGTCGACTCAATAGTAGAAACTAAACCTTTAAATCATTTTTGTATATTAAAGATCTTGATATTCAACTCCACAAACATTTCTATATCAATTGGCTTTGGATTCCTAGGAGAAACTCAAATTGCTTTTTCCAACTTTAGAACCACTTTTGTCACGACTTTTGCATCCTTACTAGAAAGCTTTATTGGCGGATTTGGGTTATCCTTCTTAATATATTCATAAACTAAACTTTATGATGTTAAAGGTAATGAAAAACACATCTACATCAATTTAAAAGCCAAATATATTATAAGTTATACCATGATTTTTTCTTTAGCATTGAAGTTAGTTCATAGAAACTTATGGTCATTGTTAGGCAAGACTTTATAAACTTCTTTAAGATTTTGGTTTTGTGAGTTTTCACATTTATTATTTTATTTGTTAGGAGTTGTTAGAAAAGGCATTTTAGCTTATTAGCTTTGATATTAAAGTTAATATTTGCATCTAGCAATCATTGGTGATGATTCACTATCGTCTAGGATAATTCCTTATAAAAGGTTTTGCTTGATTATTTATTGATATAGAATAATTTGTCATTCTTCGATAGTGGATACTTTTTTGATGATGATTATATATATCTCTTTTGAGCATGGCTTGGCTGAAACTTTTGAGAACAATAATGGAAATGGATGTATTTTTTACTTATAAAGCTTCAACTTTTGAGTAGAAATTTAATTTAATTTTAAAATCTTTTTAGAAAAATATCTCAAAAATCAATTTTGCCATCATAGTAACTAATTGTTGTATCTTAGAGTTTGGATTATCATTTATATTTCTTACCTCTATCTTTATAAAAAAATTTTGCAAGCATTTAATTCAAAACTGCAAAATCTTCAATTACATTATATTACAATCATTAATAGTTATTCTTTTTAATATTATATATCCTCATGATGTTGAATTTTTGACTCATGTTGAAATAAAATTTACCACTATCATTGTTTATAACTCATTGTTATAATTTAGAAAACTTTTAGGGCAAAATACTTCATTTTAAAATTATTTTAAAATTTAATTTTTTTAATATCTATTTACATTTTACTATATAAAAATTATCAAAACTTGAAGTTGTGACTCATCAACATTAAATGGATTTTATTATGACCTTTTTTGTCAATCAAAAATAAAATATAAAAGATCTTAAAATTTGTTTTTTACTTTTATTTGATTATATATAACTAGCCCTTGATATTATCCTTTTGCCTTGTTCTAGAGGGGAGATTTTACTTCTTTTTGTGTTAATTTCCCTTTCCTTTTCCGATCGGCTCGTACAAGCTATACAAGTTTAATGTCAACGATACGGCAAAACTCAAATGAATTATACACTTTATCAAAGATCATTAGCCACATCAAAGAAAGTGTCGACTCAATGGTAGAAACTAAACCTTTAAATCATTGTTGTATATTGAGGATTTTAACATTCAGCTCCATGAATATCTCCATACCAATTGATTTTGGATTTTTAGTAGCAACTTCAATTGTTTTTTCCAACTTTAGAACTACCTTTGTCGTGACTGTTGCATCTTTACTAAAAAGCTTTGTTGGTAGATTTGGGTTATCCTTCTTAACACATTTATAAACTAAACTTCATAATGTTAAAGCTAATGAAAAATATATTTGCATCAATTTAAATGCCAAATATATTGTGAGTTATACCATAATTTTTTCTTTAGCATTGAAGCTAATTCATAAAGACTTGTGATCATTGTTAGGTGAAACTTTATAAACTTTTTTGAGATTTTGGTTCTGTAAGTTTTCACAATTATTGTGTTATTTGTTAAGAATTGTTAGGAAAGGCATTTTAGCTTATTAATTTCAATATTAAAGTTAATATTTGCATCTGGCAATCATTGGTGATGATTCACTATAATCTAGGATAATTGATTATCTTTATAAAATGTTTTGCTTGATTATTTATTGATAGAGGCAAATAGAGGCATATCACACTTTTGTAAGTTGAATGACACCCAAAGTAGCAAAAGTGTCTGAGTTGTAGCATATTTGTGTTAAACAGAAAAGTTACCTTAACTTATTTAAGTTGGTGCATTTCTCATGAAGTGTGCTCACTATAAGTTTTTTCTAGAGTTGTTTCCTTAGCAGTGGTCTAGATTAAAGTATGCATTGATAAGGACATTAATCTTCCATAATAGGGGGAAAGTATTGTAAATGTGATTATAGGTATTGAAAGTTATATGTCAACTAGTCTTTTCTGATATTGTTTCTTTACTACCACAATGGCAGAAGGTTGGTATTGTTGGTTCCCTTTTCAACCCCTTTTTTTCAAGTGTTAGTAAATTGGGTTTAGCATTTGTACTTAGCCAAATGAATATAAGGAAGGAACTTCTATGTATTTCTTACTAAGTATATTCAACTTGGATTTTACCTCTCTTTTACTCTATTTTGCATTAATTTGACAAGAACCCTTGCATATTGAGACTAATCTCTCAATATCACTAGATAGTTTACTGTGTCTGCCAAACACCCTCACTATCATGCATTATATATTAGTTCTGTTAAGTCTCAATTGCTATTTATGAGAAATATCTAGATTTGCTAATTTGGCATATCTACAGAATGTAGACATTGTCTTGAACACAATGGTGTTCTTCCTATATCTAAATTCATAATTTAGCATCATTCTACATTTAGTAAGTTTTGAGTTAATCCAAGAGACTAACTCCTGGTACTAAGAGTGGCTAAAGGTGAAAGTTGAAAGCATGTGTTCCTTAAACAGGGGGGTTGTGGGGGGTTTTAAACGTATAGTAAGGATAATAGGTAAGTTGAGCATGACTGACCAACCTAAGGCATAATTTAGCTCTTATTTGCATGCCTGTCATTATTTTGCATTGGCTTAGGTTTAAACCCAAGTTCCATACCATGTTAGTTGGTGGAGTACTTATATCCTCACATTAGATCACCAATATGCTAAAATAATGCTAAATTTTGTTTGGCTCTATTTTGCATGCTAATTCTAGCATTTGGATGCTAAAAACTCTATGACTATTCTAAATCAATCTATACACTTGTCTCTTTGCTCCTTGGGATGAATGCTCAAGAGTTGTTTTATGTTCCAATTCCTTCACTCTTTAGTTGCAAGTTTGGGAATTTGGCCCTATTCCTTTATTCAATAGCCTAAGGCCTTGAAACTTGGGTTCTGATTTGCTGTCCTTGGACATATGGCATATGGCATGTGACACATGGCACATAGAGGGTTTAGGTTCCACTTCGTGATTATTCTATGGTAAATCACTATAGGATAAAGGGTGAAAACCATATATGCTACAAAAGTAAAATATTAGTAAAAGTTAAAGATGGAGGTGGAGACTTATATAAAATGCATAAGAGCCAAGTGTGAGTACTATTAACATTCTTTCCTATACACCAAACAAATTAAAACTTGAATGGTAAAGCATTCCTATCAATATTTATATTATGTTAAACTTTAGGGAGTGAGTTTTTATTATGCACTAACAATACATATATTCTTGATATTTTAGATTGCTTGTCTCATAAATGGGGCTTCAGAATTATAACAATGTTCAAACCACTTGTACTATAAATATATATAATCATGTGTTTATACAAAATACTATCGTTCTAAAAAAATATAAAAATTCTACACTTTTCTCATAATGAACTAAACTTAAAAAAGAAATCAATAAAATTGTACTCATTATAGTGATAGTGGAATAAAACCTTATTTATCAATACATCCACCCATAGCAAATATACACAACCATTATAGTATAGAATTCCATCCATCAATGAAAAAGGGGCTTTTATCTAGACTTGTAAAGAGACTACCTCAACATTCTAAATCTAAACATGCTCAACCAATTGTCTAAATTCACTAACCACTTTACTTAAATGATAATAAAACTATGAGTGTAGCTTTGTTACATGATGAATATAAGATAAAGCATCAGCCACTATATTAGATTTAACACTCACTAATGCAGTGTTTGCCAATAGAATATTTTTCTTCACTATGAAATCATAGTAGTTGTATATTTTTAACTCCTTGATTTTTTTGTACATCCACATATACAGATTTTCCAAACCAACTCTTGTGTATTAGTGAAAATGCTCAAGAAAATTTACCAAACCTATAGAATTATCTATCTTGTTTAAATAAAAGTGGACATCGAAGATTGTATATATTTACACATTCAAGCTCTCTAGTCATATCTAGAAAAGAATTTTGATGAAAATAGTGATATCACTCTTAGAGCACTTTAACTCTTATAACAACATCATAAAAAAGAAACTCCTATTTAGTTGTACTTAAGGCTATAAATGAAACAATTGTTATAAAGACTTCTAAAAAATTATTGCTTGGAGTTGAAGGTGGATTGTTGTTTGAGTTCGGGGATGGAGGTGGAGAATTAAATGAGAATCTTCCAGGACCAAAAATACACTTCTTTCTAACTATTCTAACACTCAAAAAAGAATTAAATTCTCAAGAATTCTTTAATGACTATATTGTTTGTTACTGATTAATATACTCAAGAATAAGGTTTTATTATAACATGGCAATAGACCAAATCTTAATTATCAATCTTGGTAGGCTCTAGGGTTCCAGAAGCTCATAATTAATATAAAGCTCTAGTAAGTTTACCATTTAGAATAATAGCAAACACACACAAGCATGCAAACACACCTTTTTGTATGATTACCTTTTAATCTTGAAAATATATATAGATTTGACTTTTTTATTCATATATATCATTCATATCATATAATACAAGATGAATATACTACATACTTATACTATTATAGAGATGCACTACTATAATATATCATGCTTATATAAAGAGGAATGGGAAATAAATAAACAGCATGTTTTTATTTATAATATTAAGTGAATTATAAATGCTATAGAAAATTCTATAGAGTAGACTTTTTGTTCTTTCTACCATACTGTCTGTTTATTCTTTTCTCTTGCTCTGAAATGTTATTTCAAAAATAACAAAAGCATTTTTATTAATGGTCATAATGAATAAGAGTGTAATATAAGGATTTTAGTAGTAATAAAAAGTTAACATTCTCACATTATTTTATGCTACAACTACTTATAGATTATTTGCCTTCTGTGTTTCATATCTTTGTAAAACTTTAAAAAATGAATGAATGAATAAGTGTTTTGAATGCTATCTATATGTTTTTAGCCTAATGTGTGGTGGTCAACTTTTGAAATATCAAATTTTTGAAATATTAAGATATCAAAATGTTAAAATATACAATAGAAATTTTCATGCTTGTGGCAAACTTCAATATTCCCATTTTACTTGGCCCCAAAAAATCTCTTTTAAACCAGAACATTGTGAATAACAATTATATAGGTTCAGATGAATTTTTAATTTTAGAAACTACTTAAATAGTGAGGATGGTTTTTACCAAAATTTCTAGACTATTTTAGGTACATATTATGTTTAACTTAGATTATAAAACCCCCATTTCATAATCATTTACCAGTATGAGACCTTTAGAGGTAGGAAGGATTTTGTTCTCTATAAAAATATACACTTCATGGAGAAAAGTGCCATGCTCATTAAATTTGGAATATTCATTCATCCCTTAAGAAAGAAAAAATATATTCTAAAAGAATATTCTATTTTATTGCCTTCCAAGAAAAAGGGCTACATGGAATCATGTTAAATAAATTCTGGTAATTTCTACTCAAAATTTAAAGCATTTTGAAAAAACACCAATTTTTGCAGGGTAAAATGGCCAAAAAATGGCCTGAAGGGCATTAATTACTTTACCTGCTTGGGTCTAACAGCAACATAATTTATTTTTCCACACTATGGTCGCTACTCACAAGGGTCTCACCGATAATGTGGTAAGTCTCTTTCTTTTGCATCAAATGATCAGAATTTGACATGTCATTGCATGTGAAAACTGCTGAAACTGGATACATGTCCAGACGTTTAATGAAAGCTTTGGACGATCTTTCACGATGGTACAGTTCATATATCATCTGGCATATATGTGCATCTATGAGGACGATACAAAGGATCCCGTAAGCATGGAGATTCAGAACGGAACGCCCTTGAATCTGGACTGCGTAAGCTAAGGTGCCTTACAAAACTTCTTTGGATTTGTTTCTAATCTGTTCTCTCAGGCAGCTTGTCCACGGGTAGCGGCTCCAGCTTTCTTGGACTCGCTAAGAAAATTCTTGAAGGAGTTCAATACCAGGAAAAGGCTGGTAATTTGGACGATGAAAATGTTGCCAGCAAATGCTAGTTGGAGGTTCGTGGAACAGTTATATATGAGCGCTATTGCAGGTCTTTCTGAACACGTGCATTAGATGGTACCACAAAAAAAAAAACTTGTTGGAACCATTTAGTATTGGAGAACCTGGAATGCAGATGACGTTGAAAACTTTTCACTTTGCTGGAGTGGCTAGTATGAGTAAGTCCTTCTCGTTGTAATCTTATTTATCTAACTATGCTCTTGTGTTTTTTTGTCAACATATTACTCTCGGTGTTCCTCGTATCAAAGAGATATTGAGAAAGCTGCACTTTGGAGATGTAAGTGACATATTTGTACAATGGAATATTTCTCACGGAAGAGCATAAAGATGGTCTTGCGGCGTGGCTGCATGAAGAGAATTTACTCCCTCCAGCTTGATATCAGAGCTGAAACAGTCGCAGAAGCTGTTGTTACAATCTATGAACAGGTTTTGTGTGCGTTCAGTTAAAACTTGTTCTAATATGCCTTGTGTGCAACATGTTAAGGTGAACGACCATCGAAGCATTTCGTTAACACCTGGGTTTGATCGCAAGAAAATGCTCGTCATTCACTTCAAAACATGCTTCCCAAGGTCTATCGTGAAGGTAAACGATAATATGCGTTCTCGCAACCATCTCAAAAACATAGCAGGGAATTCCGACTGAGTGAGAGGAGAAAGGCAAATACAACTCTCTTAAGAACCTCTCTCTTTATTATTTTTCTAGTGTGATGATCTCCATTTTTTTCAAACCTTAGACGCGGTCATGGGACCCGAAGGTGTTGACGGGTAATCACATCTTTGAGACAGTCGAGGTGCTTGGAAACGAAGCAGCGCGGAGTGGAATTATCAAAGAGATTCAGTACACAATGGGCTGACGTTATGACTTACAAGGTATCGCAAAATTTCTCTCTCTGTTTTTTTTCGCAAGGATTGTTTGCTTCATAGATCCAGGTTTGGGTGGCAAAGATGAAAAGTAGCATTCTCATTCTCGTATCGCTCGAGAAGACGACGGATCATCTCTTTGCCGGGTCTGTCTCCACGGGGAACCGATGCCGCTTGGCATGGGGATCTTCAAAGTCAGGAAATTTTTTAATCATCTCCTTGTTCTCGAATTTCTTCTAACAAATCCCCCGTTTCAATTGCGTGGGTGTTCTTCGCAAAGTTGCTTGCCTAGTGACCACCTCCACTCTTGCAATTTTTGAAGTGACGTGGACCAATGCAACGGATGTTGCCACGCCAGCGGATTGAAATTTTAATGTAAAAAAGAGTATTCTGGATTTCTAGGGTTTCACGAGGGCGAAGCGAGCTATGGCAGCCGCGACGTGGCATCGGTGAGGTACGATCAACCGTGCTCGACCGCATTCCCAGATCGCTTCCCAGATCGCTTCCAGACAGGAGAATCTCCGGGAATGAGCGCGTGAAAGATCCGAGAGAAACCAGGGCTGCGATCGATCTGTATGTCATTGGAATGGCGCAGTGCCTGGCGCACGTCTACTGGTGGCAGGCCGGTGTCCACAGGCACATATTCCACTCGCCAGCGTCGAGATCGTCCAAGAATTTCTACTCGCAGCTGACAGGTAGCCAGGGTTTGCTGGAGGATCTCATGGTGCTGCCGCCTCTAGTGCCGGCAATCGATCAGGAGAGCTCCAAGCTCATCGTTTGCTTCCGGGACGATGATTCAGCGTTGCCGCCGGAGCTCCTGGACAGGGACTTGCGAGATTTTGGAGTGAGGACGAACTTACAGATGAGATACAGTCCCTGGGCAGTGGACATGATCAATGGGATGGGAACTTGCGATAAGAAGACGCTCAAGAAGAGCAGTGGAGGGCCGTGTGGCGGTGGAAGAGGTCGTGGTGACGATGGCGATGGTGGTGGCGATGGTGGTGGAGAAGGCGACGATGAAGGAGGAGAGTACGTGTTCCTTCTTCCGGTTCTTACTCTGGCCTTCGCAGCGTTCCATCTGGGATACTGCATCGCGGTGTGGGTGAAAGATGACAGCCTCGACGCCGGATTCTTTCGGACTGGACTCGGCCTCTTTTGCCTCCTCGCGCTCGCCGCTATCCGCCTAAACTCGTAAGCTTCTCTTCTTTTGTTTGCTTGTAAGTTTGTTTCCCCGGTCACCTTTCTTTGAGTTTTTTTGTTGCCTGCGTTCTTTCCTAGTTTGAATGCTATGCTTGTTTGTGCCTTGCAAGTTCTTATCTTGTTTTGTCCGTGAAGCGTCTACTGTTTTCTACTGTTTTGTCATTGTTTTTGTGCCTCGATGGTAATCCACATGTGTTTCTCTGTCTCTAGTGGAGCCGGCTTGGACGCTTATGTTGTGGGACTTGGAGCGTCCTTGGGCGTCATGGCCTGGACAGGCAAGCTCTAAACTCTTTTAGTGAGTTTGATCTTCTTCTTCCTTTCAGGTGAACGCTGTCTCGTGAAGAAAGAGGGGAGTCCAGCGGGCATAGTCGCATTGTTTGCCGCCTCAATGGCCGTGATGTTCACTGCGGCTTTATATCACAACATCTAGACAAGGTACGCCAGCAATTAGATTGGGTGGAGGCAAGCAAATGAGCGCGCAGCCATGGGCAATGTTCGTGTGAGAAACGAAAAAGAGGACTGTGTCTTGTCCCTTTCTTATGTAAATATTCTTTGTACACATCTGGGAGAGACCAGGATCGTCCAACAAAGAGCTCGTGAAGTTGGAAGTAATGCTCCTGTGGAGTTTCTCTCCGTTTTTCTTTTTGAGGTACTTGCGACTCACCAGGCAAAGGTTTGTTGTTGGATGGACCATGGCGAGTGAAGAGTTTGATAGACGAAAAAAAGAAAGGAAGAAAGTACAACTATGATTTTGTAACTTTGATTATGAATGGGCGAATTTTGATCCCAGAAAATCATGAGATATCGCCATGTAGAATATTCTCAAGATGCACTGGCATTTGGGAATCTTCTCGTCCGCGGCGGCATACCTCCATTTTCTCTAACACAAAGTTTGATCTTCTTATCCTTTTTTAGGCATAGTCGCATTGTTTTGGCCGTGATGCTCACTGCAGAGCTTTATATCACAAGGTACGCCAGCAATTAGATTGGGGAATAGCGTTTCGAGGCAAGCAAATGAGCGCGGCCATGGCGTGGTCACGGGCAATGTTCGTGTGAGAAACAAAAAAGAGGAAAAAGCCACTGTGTCCTCTCCCTTTTTGTACGTAAATATTCTGGGGATCGTCCTTTCGTCGGTAACAAAGAGCTCGTGAAGTTGAAGTAATGCTGCTGTTAAGGTTCTCCTCTTTTGATCTGCTGTGCGGTTCAAACAAACCATGAACAATCTTTTTTCTTTCCTATATTTCTTTCAAATTCTTCCAAGTCTGCGAAGAACACACACAATTGAAACGAGGGATTGAAAAAATTCGACAACAAAAACTTGCTTGAATCCCCGTGCAGAGCGGCATCGGTTCTCCCTTGAACAGACGCAGTGACGAGATGATCCGTCTCAAACGATGCGAGAATGAGAAGAAGAAATATAAATCTTCTTGTTTAAAGAATACTAAACCCTTGCCAAACGCTGTCTTTCATCTTCGCCACCCAAACCTCATGATCCCGAGGATTTCTCCCTGGATGTAATCATTGTTTGAGATTGTTTTTGAGAGAGAGAGAGAGAGAGAGAGAGAGAGAGAGAACTTTTGCAATATGCTTGGAATCGAAGCAAGAGACACACCATGGAATGAGCATTGATCAAGGCCACATGATGCTGCTCCCGGATGCGATGACTTACACGGTGAGTGTCCACTGTCTCAAAAATGTGATTACTTGTTGTTTCTCTCTCTGGTAACACCTTTGGTTTTGATGACCACTCTAAGATTTCTTCTACAAGCATCCTGCCAAAGTCAAGACTATTCTCAAGTGGGAGCCTCCACAATCAATGTCGGACGTTCAGGTTTTCCTTAGTTTCGCCAACTTCTACCACAAATTCATTGATCACTACTCTGACATTGTCCTTCCTCTCACGCATCTCACTCGCAAGGATGTTCCCTTCTCTTGGTCTACTGCTGCCCAGCACGCCTTCGACACTCTCAAGGTAGCCTTTAGTTCTACTCCCGTTTTGATCCATGCTGATTCCTCACAACCTTTCTTCATCGAGGCTGAAGCCTCATATGAAGGCAAATACATAAAAATCTCTTTCTCTTATTTTCTAGAGCTAGAAAATAAGAGAAAGAGATTTTTATGTATTTGCCTTTGTGTGATTCCCTTAGTTAATTAACAGAGTCAAATCTAAGACCTTTTTGATAAGAATATAAATTTTTAGAATTCCTTGCCATATTTTTGAGATATAAGAGAATTGCAAGACATGTGGTAGAATAAATTAGAATATACTAAAAAGTGTTTAGGAAAGTTTATAAATTATAAATACAAAATTAAGTTAAATGGTAGAGTATTTTAAAATATCCAATCATATTTTTTGTATAACCACTACCACCTAAACAAACTAATAATGAGACAAAATTTTAATACTTTTATATAAAATTTGTTAATGCTGGCTAAATAATTATTGGGATTAATTATTTACTACTGGAAGATGATAAAAAATAGTGAGTTTTACAAATACTATTTTTTATCACTATAAAACCTTCAACAAGTTAAAGTTTGATGTTTCTAGTAAATTGTGGCAATACTAATTTAAATAGAATGTTTAAAACATTTTTATACTAATCTCCATATTTTACATTGCTTATGGCATAATACATAAATGTATAAAACTTTAACATATAAAATTAATGTATAATTTATAATTTACTTTACTTAATAACTAAATAATTTGTTGCACATTGGATGCAACAACACTTGGTTTACTTAATAGTAGTGTCATTGAATAATTCAATTGATCAATAATTATAAATATGTTTAAAATTTATAAATCAAGATTAATCTTATTACATATTAACCATTAGATAGTAAAATAAAAAAGAATATACTAAAAAGTGTTTATTATAAATACAAGATTAATATGGTAGAATATCTTAAAATATCCAAACATATTCTAGGTATATCTATTACCATACAGGTTTGCTTAAGCAAACCAAAAATTAATAAACCTCCTGGGGGTTTGAATTTTCACTGAAGTTTTATTGCTTCACAATCCAACAAAGAACTTGAAGCATCCTATAGAAGCCTCTGTGCCTTCTTCTTCCATAGGAATTGCTTTTCCTCAGCTTTTTCCTTTGTTTTCCTTGGACAGACTTTGATTGAGTCCACCGGTGCTGCTGAGAGACCCAGTGAAAGGATTCGCTCATTAAAGCCCTAGCCTGGCAAAAATTCAAAGACACCAAACGAAACAAACCTACAGTCGCAGAAGTTGTTAAAGTTCCCCAAAATCAAGGTTCAGATCTTTGATGATTCTAGCTTTTTCTGTTTGGAGGGACCCCATGCTTTCGACTATTTTCTCTAGCTTATTCTGAAAGAACTGTTGGTGTCTTGCATCACAGATTTCATGTAGTACAACTTGGCTTAGACCTCCATCTCCTTGCGGTTGGTGGAACGAACGTCCACACTCACTAATACAATCTCTGCCGAAAAGCAACGTAGCTGTTCTCCCAGCAAAGTGGCCAGAATCATCGGTGGAAATTTCGCAAGAGTTTCCACACCGCTGCAAAGAATGCTCTGTGATGTCCTTTGTTGGAAGCAAAATGCCCAGAGTTATTTGTGGAAAAAACTCGGCCTCTTCTGTCTCCTCGCGCTCACCGCTATCCGCATAAACTTGTAAGCTTTCTCTTCTCTTGTTTGTTTTGGTTTTTGATGTTTATTTCCCTCGTCACCAAGTTTTTCTTGTTCTAGAGCTTGGATTGCACAATGCTTGTTTGTGTTTTATCTTTCGTAAGTTCTTGTCTTGTTTTGTCTGTGAAGCTTCCACTGTTTTCGACTGTTATCCTTTTCTGCCTCGATGCCAATAAGTGACTCCACATGCGTTTCTCTGTTTCTAGTGTCGAGCCGGCTTGGACGCTTATGTTCTGGAACTTGAAGCGTCAAAACTCTTTCAGTGACCAGTATGACAACGAGTTTGATCTTCTTATCCTTGCAGCCGAATGCTGCCTCGTGAAGAAAAAAGGGATCCCAGAATTCGCATAGTTTGCCTGGCCGTGATATCTTTATATCACAACATCTAGACAAGCTACGCCAGCAATTCGATCGAGACCGCTTGAGAAACAAAAAGAGAGGAGAAAACACTGTGTCTTGTAAGCATTCTTTGTACACATCTGGGGGAGAGACCAGGATCGTCCTACCGTCGGTAAGAAACATAAACAGCCCGTGAAGTTGAACTAATCCTCGAAAGTTTGTTTCCAGTTAAGCGTCTCCTCTGTTTTACGTGCGAATCAAGGCAAAGTTTGTGCCTGTTGCCTGTGCAATCGAATCGATCCCACACAGGCTAAAGCTGCCGTGAAAGCAGCTCAGTCTTGTCAAGCCCAGCACGACTTTAGGAAGAGTACGTTTGAGTGAATCATCCACACCAACAAAATCGGTACCATAGCTACAATGCTTTTTGCTTAATTTTCGCTTTTGCCTCTGGACAGACTCTGATCGATTCCACCAAACATTGAAGACTATGATGATCCATCTTTCTTTTCTGTGGTGCTGCGCTTGTGCCCGGTGAAAGAATTCGCTCGTCAAGGGGAAAAATTCCAAGAACACCAAACATATAAACGCGCAATAGATATAGAACAAGGGTAAAGGTTTCTAAATTTTCTTCCAAGCTTAGCTTGCGAAAGATTCCCTCCCCTTTGTTATCAATCATTTATTGGCCTGGCAGTGGATATTCCGGCAGCTTTCCAAAGGGCAAGAAAAAGCCCGCGAGTGCCAGGCTGGAACTCTGACCGCCACCTGGCAGTCGCGAGCCCGGAATTTGTGAGCTGCTAGACCGCGTACGGGCGATGGGCAGAGTTTGGGCCATGGACGAATCGGCCCATCCTTTCCGTACACCCCGCCGACACGCGTCACGGTTGTCCCCCACAACCGCAGCCGCGCATTTAGACAGCCGGCAGCCGTCATCACCGGTCTCCCGTTAAACACCATCCTGATTCACTCTCTCTCCGCTTACCTTGCGGTGACGTGGCATCAGGCCTTATTTTTGTTTTTTCTCCAGCGCACTCCTTCTCCCGTCCGTCGCCACTGTGCACTCCCACCGGCGGCTATCGCCCGCCCGTGGCTCCCGCCTGCCCGCTCGCCCTCGCGGCTCCCGCCCGCACTCCCACCTGCCCCCGCACGTCCGCCGCGCCCAGCGTGCGCCCTAATTACTTCCACGTGGCCACAGCCCCAACACTTCGCCAAATTTCAATCAGCCCACCCTGTTCCACCCATAATTGACTTAAAAACGTTTCCATTCACACTGGATAGTTGCTCCATAATTGACTTAAAAACGTTTCCATTCACACTGGATAGTTGCTCCATAATTGACTTAAAAACGTTTTTGTTTTTTTTATGATCAAGCATGGCGGCAGCACAGCAATTTCCAGAGGTAAGCAATCAAGTTAACTTCATATTGATTCAAGAAAATCATTCAAGATCCCCTATGGCCTGATGAGGTGTAAGAATTCTATGAAAAGGATTATTTTTGTGTAGATGATTTGGAATTTGTCTAAATCAAATGAAACTATACTTTCTATTGTGTATATATTACAGAAGGATGTGAATAAATTTTTAGATGGTGAGAGGAGAAAGGGTGATAG